ACGCATTACGTCTGCAATGGTATAAAAATAATCTCCGCGGCCTAATCGATATAAACAAAGCGCTAGCCTCAGTTCTGGAGAAATTAGATCCTCTGTCACAGTTTCTCTAGCAAGAAATGGGCCGATGCGATTTAATATGTACCTGAACGTTGAACGAGAAACCCGAAATGTTTTCTTAAATCTTGCCTCCGAATAGTTATTCCACATATTCTCCCACCATCCAATGTTTCTAGTCAACCGACGACAGGAGCGAGACATAGGAGTGACGTTGTTTCGTTGCGATGAAATCAACAGTAGAAGAAAACAAACATTCAATACTTTCCTCCTCCATGCAGCTAGATTTTTCAACACCATTTGCAAGTTTTGGCGCCTTCTTCTACTTTCACGTATGGCATTAACGAGAAGAAATTCTTCCGGATAGCTTACCGTGCTTTTCTCTGCCATCTCCGCCATGTTGAATCCTCTTGGACTCATAACAGTAACCGCTGACCATACTGGTCGTAGTTTATTGTTCAGGTTTTTTGGTTCGACTCAATTAAGTTCGACGTCTGAATCAACTGTCGAACTTAATTATTTAGGTCGACCCAAATAGGTATTAGGTTCGGCACATGTAAAGTTCGACGTTTGAACCAGGCCTTAACGTCCATGTCGTAAATGATCTCGCGACAAACAATAACACTGGTTTGATGTACACCATTTTCACTCTCCTACTCACGAGTAACTCCGATCTCACAATCAATCAACCCAAATCACCTATTATATTTTCGTACTTCCGTCACGAACCTATCAAAAAATCCAATGCAACGCTTCGTTGACGACAGCCACTTGTGAGAGTGCAAGTGATAAATCTCCCAAGAAAGACAGAATTTCCTTTGATTAACTACAAAGCAAAGAGATGCGTAATTTTGATTCATTGACCCACTTTATTTTTAGTCATGGATACACGAAGCATAGGAGGCACTGTTGTTAGGAGTCAGAATATGCAAATTTGTCACTCGTCTCAGATGTAAACAAGTCGATATGTAAACGGCAGACCAATTGCTATTGACTTTCCGAGATAATACTGGAACGCGTCTGTCGACTTTCCGAAGTAACTGCTGTGTAGACGCTGAATGCGAAGAGTCTTTGACCCCTCGATACGTCTGCTCGTCGATCCTCCAAGCCCACATTGGGTTCATACGTAATACTTCTAAAATAGTTCTTTTGTAAGCTTCTGGAATGTTCCAGAAC